AATTCTGGGCATGCTTTCTAAAAATGAAAGCCTTTGATAATGGATCCATGAGTGCACTTCACAAAATTAACATTGCTGTCCCTCCACCCAAGTTTCCAAATGCATTCCCATGTTCCTTCTAAGAAAGGTGCTCCTATCCAAGTATAGTTAGACAAATAAAGGTACAAGTCATGAGAGATTCCATTCTGCTCTAAGATATATAGTATCTTTCTTTAAACTTTGTAACTTCGGTGTCCACAGGCCCTAATCAGAAGGCTTTTGGGCTATATACGTTGCAAAATTGAGGATATTTCCGGTTTTAGAAAGGTAATCCTTATACTAGATTTATGTAGTAACTCAGAGTATAGGGAAGCACACCATAATAAAAATCAATATTTTTGCAGAGAAGTATATTAATATTCATTCTCAGAGAAATAAATGAAGAAGATAAGTAGTTCAAGTTTAGTTTTAAGTCAGATTTTGCCAAAAGTAAATTTTGGATCCAAAACCTTACTCAAGAACCTTGTGCTTTTCAGAGCTTTCTGAAGTACAGGATTGTGAACCTGCACTTGATGTGCAGTAACCTATGACAGTCCAGGTGCTTTGTACATCAAGAGGTCCTTCTGAGAAAAGAAATAGTTTTTAAAACATAACTTTCTTAAAATAATAAATGGTATATGATTAAATTTTGTAAAGATTACCACTTAGTCATGAAGACCTCCATCAGGTTTCTGAGGCTAAATCTTAATGGTTTGAGATTAATGTGAAGAAGAAGATGCATCTGATGTTTAGCACAATATATTTCTTATTAACAACTGAAAAATGTAAGTACTACAGATTCCTTGAATGAAGCTTAATAAGATTGTTAGACAGGGACATGATTTTTTTTAAAATTTGGGTTAGAATGCTGGTATTTTAGTATACTAGTGGTTCTCATTCATCATACAGGAGCATCTTTTAATCTCTCTTTTAACTGCTTACATTTTTATTACAGACTTGAAAATAATGATTGTTTTTCTTGCATAAGATTCCCTTTTTTTTTTTTTTTTTTTGGAGTCCATGGGATATTCAGTATTCTTCTCCAGCACTGCAACTCAAAGCCATCACCTCCAAGATGAGATGTGTCACATTTTTTTTTTTTTTTTTTTTGTTACATCCTGTGCATGTGCTTAGATATCAGACTGACTCTTCTGTGTTCTGGTATTGACCTTAAAATAAACTATGGAAAGGCAAAGTAGTTAAGATGAATTAAAGATCAGTACTCTGGTGGCTTAGTGGTAAGGAATTGTGCTGCTAACACAGAAGTTCATGGTTCAAATGCACAAGCTGCTGTGGTACATTTCGTAAGGAAGAAAGATGGGAAGTACCCTCTACTATGATTTACTGCCTCTGCAAACCCACTAGAGAGTAAACCATAGGTCAATTCCAACTCAGCAGTACCCAACAAGTACTATATCAGGAATATTAGATTGTTTGGGGTTTTTTTAGTAACTATGAATTTTTAAAGTAGTGTTCTTAAATATTTTGTTCTAAAAATATTGGGAACATTTTAAATTAACAATGAGAAATTCAGAAAATAGAATCCTGAGTAACATACATACATACATTATTGAATGTATGTTAAAGGCTGAATTACGGAGTGAAAGATCAGTGGTTCAGACCCAATCAGAGGCACCTTGGAGACCACGCTGGTGATCCAACTACTTTTGAAAGATCACAGCCTTGAAAATTATTGGGGGCGCAATTCTGCTGTTTACACATGGAATCTTCATGAACTGGAATCAATGAGAGCTGACAACAGTCTCTGAAAGCTCTCTTTAAAAGCCATTAGAAAGTAATTAGGAAAATTTAGCATTCATTTTCTACAAACAAAATCAAACCAATATATATCTTAGCATGTTATCATTAACAAAATAGAATATTAGTAAGATATATGATTATAGAAAGAGAACATGGAATCTGAAGTAAAAGAGACTTATGTTCAAATATGAGATCTACCACTTACTCTGTAAGTGGCTTTAAGAAAGATATCCGCCTCTTTGAACCTAGATTTCTACACCTTTAAATTGGATATAACCGTCCCTATTTGTTTTGATAACTAAATCAAACAATGTATAAATTAGAATATATGCTAAATAATGAATATAGTTCAGAGAGAGTTTTGGTGGCATACCCTGTAGGGAGTTCTGTTGCTAACATAAAGGCCACACCTCTCTAGTGGTTCAAATCCATCAGCACCTCTGTAAGAGAAAGATGGGCAATCTCTCCTGTGCGGTATACAGCCTTGGCATACCTTCTGGAGGGTCAGCTATCAGTTGATTTCAACTCAGGGGCAATAAGCATTTTGGGGGGTTAGGGGTTTTTTTTTGTTTAGTTGTTAACAAGGTCACTATGAGTCCCAATCTACTTGACGATATCCAACAACAACAAACTTTATGTGACTTTTCTATTTCTTTCCTTTAGATTAAAACAAAAATCATCTAAACTTCTATTTTCTTTCAAACAATACACAGCTTTTTATAAACAGACTTGTGCTTTGCAAATGTAAATGGAAAATTTTTTTTTTCACTCAGTGGTATGTTTTTCATATCTAGTATTTGGAATAGCTGTAGTTCTAAACTATCTCAGAAATTTTACATTTCCCATCTCCTGTCAAATAGTGTGTCTTTACACTGTTCATCTCCAATACTTCCTAAAAGTTCTTAGTTTTAAATTCCAAGTAGATTAAAAATCTATTTTAAGAATATCTTAAAATTTGTATTCTCTTAAGTATTAGGTTGTTACAAAAATAATGGCAATTTTTAAACCTGAACTTTGCAAGTTTTAATGGCTCAAATTTAACTTTATTAATCAAATTAAGAGCCATTGTACAATGTACACATTTTTCCCCAACAAGATACAACTTTGTTTATTTCAGCAGCATAAAATCCAGCATTCTTGAGTTGAGGAGTTGTCTGAAAGCATTTTCGGTGGCATGTTAGACATTGAAACAGATTCCCCTGCAAAAATGTATTGAGGTGATTGAAAAAGTAGCTAATCTTTCAGAGAAAAGTCTAATGGATATGCTGCATTGAAACAGGTTCCCCTGCAAAAATGTATTGAGGTGATAATCTTTCAGAGAAAGGTCTAATGGATATGCTGCATGAAGCAGTATTTCATAGCTCAATTCTCTGGGCCTTTGGACCATTGATTGTGTGGTGTTTGATCAAGTGGTATTATGCAAAAGGATTGCCCTTTTTCTGTTGACCAATGCTGGATACAAATGTTGCAGATTTCAGTGCTTTTTACCACAGAACTTCTCTCCTGTAATGGTTTTACCTAGATTCAAGAAGTAGTGGGGGATTAATTCTACTGCAGACTATCAAATGGTCATTATGACTTTCTTTTGGTGTACTGAGCAGTGTTCTGGCACCTCACCTTGATCACACCACTGATCACCACAGAACATCATCAGTGGTCAAAGGAACCATTCTTCATCACACATTACTATGTGATCGTGAATTGGTTCATTTTTATTGTAAAAAAAAAAATGAGAACAGAGCAGGCTTCAAAATGATGGTTGCTTTGATTTTCATTCCATTCATGTGGTGCCCACTTGTCGAACTTCTTCACCTTTCCAGTTTGTGCCAAAAGATGAGTGACTGTAGAGGGACAAACATGGAATTCGGTAACTTCTTGTGTCATTTTAAAAATATTAGCTTCACTTATCTCCCTCAGATGATCAGTAACACCTTTGATAGCCAAGCACAACCTTTCATATCTTTGAGTTCTAATGCAGCACAGGGGAATTTTTTAAGCCAGTGTTGCGCTGTGCATTCATTGACACTTCCCTCACTCCAAAATTTATTGATATTTCCAGCTGTTTGTGCTGCACTGCAGCCTAGTTTGAATTAGTAAAAGAAGAGTTAGGAAAAGTCTTGTTTTGATATTTTGTGTTCTATATCCTTAAAAGATAGGCAAATACACAATTTTTAAAATTTATTTATTTATTTATTTTCTATTAGTTGCTGTGTGCTGTCGAATCAGATCCAACTGGCACAGGAGAAGATTTCCCCTCCTTCTCCAGCAGAGCATCTGATGGATTTGAACTGTGCACCTTTGGGATTGCAGCACAGCTTCTTGCCACTAGGCCACCAGAGCTCCGCAAATACAGTTTCTATTTAAAATCTGACATAGAATAAGCATAACATGAGCTTTAAAATTATATATAACATTTAATATGAGTTATTTTATTAAATCATTACGTAAAGATCAAGCATCCAAAATCTTGAATCATTTTTGTGACTACCTAATATTTTGAGAACCTTTAATAAATTGGTAATAGACTTATAATGAAATTATAGCGATGCTGTTGTTGCTGTTACTATAACATTTGTTTTCACTTCTATTCATTGGTTCCTTATCCACTGTTATAGTGTTGCTTCTGATTCATTGCAACCCTCCATCAAGTTCCTGAGGTTGTAAATCTGTATGGGGGGAGACTACCCACCTTTCTTCCACCACGTGACTACCTGTTGGATTAGCAGCCCATTACGTTATGCAATATAAAGGGCATTTTAATGATTCTTTATTCACACTGAAGTGATTGTTTCCATTTTAATATATATGACTATTTCAGTGTCATTGTAATTTGGCAAAACTCCTATTTTTCCTTTACTTAGCTTACTACTTTCATACACATCCCCCAAAAAAATGTCACACCACTGTACTAGAGAGGAAATGCTCCTGTTTAGCAATGCAAGACATTTATGGGTCCACCAGATGCTCTGCCGGAGAAGGGACAATCTCCTCCTGTACCAGTCAGATCCAATTTGACGGTACACACACAAAAAAATAATAATTTTTTTTAAAGACATTTATGGGTTCTAACTGCTGACTTAATACTTTAGGAACCTGCTATTACATGTGGCATTGCTTCCCCATATGTTATGTTTTGATTGCTGATGAAGTGAAGATCATGGCTCTTAATTCAGTTTCAAATTGGTAGCGATAACAATACTTTTCCCTGTTGTCTCTTGTAGAGTCGAAAATTAGAATCAGAAACTGGAACCACAGAGGAGCACAGTCTCAATAAAGAAGCTCGGAAATGGGCCACACGTGTGGCACGTGAGCACAAAAATATAGTTCACCAACAGCGGGTAAGTGTGATAGAGGATCCTCAGCCACATTCACTTTACACCAAATAACTAATCAGTTTAAGGAACTGAGTTTCATTGATGTGGAAAATACCCTGTATATATTTTTGGTATAATTTCTTAGCACTCAGAGGCATTACTCTGTTATCAACTTAATTGAGAAATCACTCAAGTCCACAGTACAAAATAGTAGATGTAAATCTAATCATATTGATAATTGCATTGATGTTGATAATCATATTAAATATAAATAATCTGAATAGTCCAGTTAAAAGCTAGAGACTTTCTCACACAACTTAAAGAAACAGAGTAAAGGAAGAAAGTTGCAAAAGATATACCAGACAAGTACTCATCAGAAAACTATATTATGATCTAATATTAATATGCAAAGTGTGCTTTATGAAGAGAAATTTCATAATAAAATAAATCCTCAATTCATCAAGAAAACCCTCTGCTTTTGAATCAATTCCAGTTCTTAAGTATCCTATAGGACAGGATAGATCTGACCACATGGATTATAAGGCTACACATTTCTATTTTAATACTTTTTACTGTGTTTTGAGTTAAAGTTTTATTCACTCATTCATACAGATGTTTTCCCCTTTCCCCTTCCTTCAGGCTCATTTGGCACCCAGTGTTTAGCCATTATGTCACCAATGTTCCTTTTAATTATTATGTCTTCCTGATGAGAGAGGCCTTGGTGACACAGTGGCTAAGCACTTGGGCCAAATTAAAAATTGGTGGTTCAAAAACACTCTATGGGATTGTGTAGGGGAGGTGGAAGGGGAGAATAATTTGGATTACAATATAGATTACATCTCAACATCAAAACAACAAAGATTATCACCACTGGGTCCAATAGGCAGCATTGTAATAGATGGAGAAAAGATTGAAATGGTCCATTATTTCATCTTGCTTGGATCGAAACAAATATGTGTTGGAGGAAGTGCAACAAGAGTACTTCTTGGAAGCAAGGATGACAAAGTTTTGTCTCATGTATTTTGGGCATGTTGTTGGAGAGGCTTTTCCTTGGAAAGGGACATCATGCTTGGAAAACAGGAGTGTCAGCGAAGGAGAGGAAGACCCCTGATGAGATGGATTTATATTTTGTCTGTGGCAGTGGGCTCAGATGTGTCAGGGATAAAAAGGATGTGCCCTGGATAGGACCAGGTTCAGATCTGTTGTTCACAGGGTTCCTACGAGTCATACTTAACAGCACTTAACTACAACAACACGCCTTTAGTACAGAGCTTCAAAATCTATAAAGCAAAACCTGACACAACTGAAAAAGAAATAAATGAAACTATAATTTTAGTTGGCAGTGTAAGTCAAAGTAGAAATCAATAAAGATATACAAGACTGAACAATACTATCAACTCAAGTACATATTAAACATTAATCAACATACATCATTTGCTGAGCTGTAGGAAAGAGGAAACAAAACAGAACAAAAAAACTAAAGAATTGGAATCATACAGAATGTGACTAAATTAAATCAGCAGCATGAAGTTAATTTCATTAAAAATAATTTTTTAAATTCTCAAATATCAGGAAATTTTAATACATACTTCTAAATAACTCAGCCTAAGGGAAGATTCTGCAAATGTTTTGTGCACAAGCCTAGAAAATAAATATTTATAGTTTGGCCCTCAGCTACTCAATAAGTCTATTGTTATGACTTGAAAGCAACCACAGACAATATTGAAATGAATGAGTATGGCTACGTCCATACCCCTAAAAACAACCAGTTGGTGGACTAATTTGCTAATTCCTGTATTAATTAATAAATCACAAGATGTTGGGAAATAGATATCAATTCAACTATAGATTTATTCTATTTGCCTGTGCTCTACTTCTTTTTTTTTTATTAATTTTAGTGAAAGGTTACAGAGACTTTGGATTTTCATTCATTGATTGTTGCACTTTTCTCCCTGCCCACCCCTTCTCCCCCAGTTCGCTCTTCTCTTTGAAAAGTTAAAGAAAAATTCTTTCATTGTTATACAGTCCCTCTCCCTAAGTCTACCCCACTATGCAATCCTTCATTCTAAACTCTTGTCATGACAATAATACCTAATCATATATCCCTTTAAAACAGTTCTCTCCCTCATCTGTTCAATGCAGTATACATCATTTATCCCATCTTTCTCAGTCTCCCCTCAACCCCAATGTCTGTTACGTTTTACAACAGTGACACTATACAACATTTATCCTTTTGTGACTGAGGTATTTCACTCAGCATAATGTCCCCCAGGGTAGCCCATTTTGAGTAATATTGCATGAGTTCCTTGTTTTTCAATGCAGCATAGTATTCCATTGTGTGAATATACCACAGCTTCTCTATTCATTTGTTTGTTGATGAGTGTGCTCCACTTCTGACAACAACTTTAAGTACATAAGTCTTCATGTGACCAGAACTTTAGAGATAAATTAGAATTCACAGATTAAAGGACAGTGTTCCATACTGCCAGTTCTACCCAAGATTTCAGATGCCAGCAGCAAGATTAAAGGTTCCCAAGACAGCTTGACTGCTTGCTACAAATCTGGGGTTTCTTTCTAGCCTTCCTACCAGCCACAAGTACAACAAACTAACAGACAAGCTCTGCATTAATTAGAACGCTGATAAACGAGCAAGAATATAAATATCCCGTCTACAGAGCTTTTGTGTTAAGAAGTTGCACTGCATTTCTGAAGGCATACAGTTTGAATCCACCAGCTACTCCCTGGGAGAAGGATGAGCAAACTCCTCTCAGTAAATTAACTGCTTCTGAAAACCCATCAGCAGATCAGCCGTAGGATGGTTATAACTTGATGGTACACAACAAAGTAATTTGTAACATGCAGATCAATTTCCAAATACAACAAACTGATAGATAAGTCTCATAGTTTAGGAGGCTCCATGTCCAAGTCCTAGGTATGATCACAAAGGGAATCCTTCTTTCTGACCATTCTGCTCTAACGCTTATTCCTGTGACTCCTGGCTGCTGGAGCCTTTGAACTGAAGTGTGTAGCTGGTACAGCCAGATAATGTCCCAGATGTGGGTGATGTCTTGACAGACCCTTTGTGGGTTGCCTCTCAGTATCAAGAAAAAAAAATAATCCCCGCCACTGAACCAATTAGCAATATCATGATGATAGAAAAAGAATTGAGACTGTCAACGACTTCATCTTACTTGGATCCACTTGGTAGCAGCATCATGAGACCAGGAGATATATTGCACTGGGAAAGTTTGTGGGGACCTCTCCATATTAATGAGTAGTAATGATATCAGTTTGAGGACAAAGGTGTACTTGATTCAGGCCATGGTCTTTTAAGTCTCTTGTTATTTACATCTGAGAACTGAACATTGACTAAGGATGACAGACAAAGGACTGATGCCTTTGAACTGTGGTATTGGGAAAGAGTACTGAAGATCCCATAGACTGCCAAAAGAACAAACAGATAAGTCTTGGAGAAGGTACAGCCAGCATGCTTCTTAGAGGTAAAGATGATGAAGCTTCGTCTCACACACTTTGGGCATGTTGCTAGCAGAGACTGTTTCTTGGAGAGGGACATCATACTTAGGAAGGTAGAAGGGCAGCAAAAGAGAGGAAGACCCTCAACCATGACTGCAGCGAATGGGCTAAAGTATGTCAGAGGTTGTAAGGCTGGCACAGAGACAGGACAGTATTCACATTGATTGTTGATAGGATCATTGTGAGTCGTACTTCACTCAGTAGCACCTAACAACAACTAGTCCTTCAGTCTGCATGCTGTCAGTATTGGAATCCCCAAGGTCCCCTTAATTTCTAACCTGTTAGTTCTCACTCCTCCCTCAGATTTGATCATCTCTAGGACCACTCATAAAACACACAAAGTGCTCTACTTATGATTCTAATTTTATGATACCAAAAATGAAGAGACATGTAAGATCTGAGAAGATTTCTAACACAAACCTTCTGTCTCAAAACAGATGTACTGGGGAGCTCTGGTGGCCTAGTGGTAAGGAGCTGCAACTACAGTCCTAGAGGCACACGGTTCGAATCCACCAGATGCTCTGCCGGGGAAGGAGGGACAATCTCCTCCTGTACCTGTCAGATCTGATTTGACGGTACACTCACACAAAAATAATAAAATAAAAATTAAAAAAAAATACAAAACAAAAAGCAAAACAGATGTACTACCCTCTTATTATAGATTGTACTGTACCCCCTTTCCCGTCCCCCAATAAGAATCAGCTAGATTTCTACTTGGCTAAACTATGCCTCTCAGTATTGTGTAAATATCCTCCAACTTTTATCTGATTTTAGTCTCTATGATTTTATTAAAGCAACTATGTTATCAGGCAACTATGTTGATAAAGCAGGATACAATCTGTAGTATTAAGCTGTATCTTTAGTCAGTCTCTTCTGGGATGTAAAAAAGTTTAAACAAGCTAGCCACTATTGGAATCGGGGTATGATCTTTGAATACAAGGCCCATGCTCTAAGAACCTCTTAGACAGTAGTCGCCAGCGGATTACTGATGCCAAGATTCATGGAAATCTCCAGGGAACATCTGGCCTGCCAATGTTGAAAGGAGACAAGGGGCTCTTTTCCAAAGACCCAACAAGATGGTGGAAGTAGAGCAGAAGAAGAAGCAGACTTTCAGCAAGTTCACCTACCACTTGCATGGATCTGGACCAGCTGCTAGACATGTCCTAGGAGAAGCCAATGCAACTGTACAGTGCCCAGCAGGGTAGGTGGCAGAACCCCTGCATGTGCAGGATGCAGCATTCACTGCTGAAGAGGCTGCACAAGACCAAGAAGGAGGCAATCTGCATAGAGAAGCCAGAGGTGGTGAAGATACACCTGCCTGTGATGTTTGGCATAATCATCCTGCCCGAGATAGCAGTATGGTGGCCGTGTGCAGTGGCAAGGCCTTTAACCCAGTAGTGATCAAGCCTGAGATGATGGGCAACTTCCTGGGCAAGTTCTCCATCAATCAAGCATGATGGGCCCAGCATCATCATCACCCACTCCACCTGCTTCATCCCACTTGAAGTAGTCCCTGGAAAATAAAAGCCATGATTCTAAAACTAAATAAATAAAAGGAGACAGACCTTCCTCCAGAGGTAACAAAGAGAAAACCAACCTCTAGAACTGGCATTGTGAATTCAGACTTCCAGCTTCCTAAACTACAAGAATAAATGTTTGTTAAAGCCACCCCCTTGTGCCAATCCTTCAGCAGGCTTTCAGAGCTGTAAATAGCAGTGCCATATAACGCAGATTCCTCCCATATGCATCAATGTCTGTCACCAAGAAGGAAACCCATGGAACTTCTGTGTCCACATCCTTTGAGGAGCTCCTTCTTCTTGTTATATGCCATCGAGTCAACTACAACTCTTATCAACACTGTGAACAATAGCTCTGAACCTGGCCCTGTCCTGAGCCAATCTCATCATCTCTGACACTCCTGACCACATTGCCACAGTCACTATGTCATCCAAGGTTTTCCTCTCTTGCCCTTCTATTCACCCAAGCATGATGTCCTTCTACAAGGACTGGCTCCTTATGACAACATTCCCAAAGGTTCAGTACTATTCTCCAGCACCATACCTGTCATCCATTCTTTTATCATCCTTGGCCAGTGCCCTGCTCTCAGATGCATAGCTTGCAATTGAGAAGACCATGGCTTGGTTCAGGATAACCTTGGTCTTTAGACTGGCATCATTGTCCTTTAGCATTCTAGAGAGATCGTTGACAGCAGATTTTTTTTTCAGTGCAGTCCTTGATTTCCTGACTGCCGGTGCCAAGAGTATAGATAATGGATCTGAGCAAGATGAAATGATAAGACCTTCAGTCTTTTCTCCATCTATCATGATGCTGCTTTTTGGCCAGTGCCGTAATTGGTTGTCTTCAACTTCTAGTCCTTAACTCCTTAGGGCAGGCTGCTGACATGTAATGGACCTTTCTTGTCTGACAAGCCACCAGTAAGAGTATTTAGTAGGTAGGATCAAATACCTTCATTAAAGACATTTTAACTGCTACAGAGATTACAAAGTTGTATTCTATAGATGAAAGTTAATAGTATACCCCACATAAGGGAAACGAGAAAACATTTAGACTGAATAATCATGAAAACTGGAAGGCTGTTTAGTATTTAGAAAAATGTATGGTTTTAAATACTTATTGCTTTAAAAATTTTTTGAAACAGATTTATGCTTTCACTGTAAGATAAGAAAAGGACACTAAATTTAAACTCACAATTCATAGAAAAGAAAAACAATAATAACAGAGATCTACAAAATAGAAATTAGAGCAAAACTTATATAATAAACTTCAATTATGCCAAAAACTGATTATGTGAAATAATAAATAAATCACATCATAGAGAACCATGATGGTGTAGTGTCTAATGTGTTGGACTGCTGGCTGAAATATTACAATTCAGATCCACTGGTCACTTCAAGGCAGACTTCTTCCATAAAGTGGAGGGTTACCACAGAGTCAGAACCAACTTGACAAACAGTGGGTTTGATTTTATTTAGTAGATAGATTTCCTAGGAAAATAAAGGAAAAGGCAGTTATCAGGATCAAGACTGAAAGAAGAGACATCATGACCTCTGTAGTTTACCAAGGTGATGAGTAAGAAGACACACACTTCTGTCCCCTAGAGAAATGAAAAATCAATAGACACTGTCAGAACTATTATATTGGAGTTTGGTAAACAGAGGTTTACAGCAACCAAGTAAACTGAATCAAGAAAGTGACAACATGAAGAAAATGGTAGAAAAATTGTATGGCTTTTTGTTACTGGTGTGTCCCTCTTCCCAGTATAAGGGGCAACTACATTTCCAGCCTGGAACCTTGGTCCTCGATTCGAAAAGGAGTAGACTGTATTTTATAAACAAATCACTGTGTTTGGCTATTTGATACTGTCGAGTGACTCTCTAGACGAATGAAGCAAAGTGCATGTTTCTGTTTTGCCCATGATTCAGGAGCTGCGGGCATACTGAAAGTCTGGCTGCTGCCAAGGTCAGGAGAAGGCAGATTAGACACATAATAGAAAATAAAAGTTATGGTCAAGGAGCTGGAAAGAGTTTCTTTGTTCTCTTACAGTTCTAGAGGCTGAAGTCTGAATTCAAAGCACTGGCCCTAGGGAAAAGTGCTGATTCTGTAAGAAGGATCCTTGTTTTCTATAGTATCTTTACATTCAATATCGTTACATTCCTTGGAGATCTCTGTATGCTTTGGTCTTTGCTGTGTCAAGGAGTTTCCCAGCACCCAGGCATCTGGGTCTCAAGGACATACTTCATTCCCACCTCTTCTGCCTTAATCACAAAGGACCCCCTCTCCTGGCTTATTCTCCATTTATCTCTTATGAAATAAAAGATGTTATAGACCACACCTAGGGAAATTCCCCCTAAGTAGAAGTGTGACCTAACAACAGGTGTTATATCCAATGTTAACCCCTTTACAACTGATTAACAGACAGACCACATCAGGAGGAATGACAGCATCATTGCCTAACTGCCTCTAATCTTGCCCTGTTAGAGAAAGGTAGTGGTGTAGTCATTCCTCTTGATGTGGACTAGAATTGACAGCACACAGGATAATTACATCATTCTGAAAATCATGGCCTAACCAAGTTGACACATTTGGGAGACACACACTTTGCAAAAAGTTTGTTAAAGTCACCAAACCAGTGGACTACTGGTAGCCTAGAGAAACAAAGAGATCAAGCAATTAGCAAAGGACCTTATTTCTAGAGCTATCATTTGGTGGCCTACTGGGAAAAAAGCTTCACTACAATCCCAAAGACATGAGGTTTGAATCCACCAGCTGCTCCACAGGAGAAGAATGGGCAATCTCCTCCTATGCAATTAACTGCCTATGAAAACCTACTGGAGGGTCAACTATGGGTCAGCTCCGACTTGATGGTACACAACAACATCTTATATTACTCAATTATACCGTTTTCAGCAAAAGATAAAGTAATAGAAGCCATCTCTGAATCAAGACATTAGACTAGTAGATAAAGACTTTACAGCATCTTTTACATAGCCCCAAAGTGCTAAAGAAAAACATAGACAAGGGACAAAGGTCATTACAAAACAACTATGAACAAAGTTTAATATGAAGAGATAAAGACCATCAAGTCAGAACCAACTCATAGTTGACCTTCCATTGATTTTCCAAGGCTATAAATCACACAAAAAGAGACTACCCATGTTTCTCCCACTGAGAAATCTGACAATTCTTATGACATTAGTGTGCTGTCAAGTTGGAACTGACTCATAGCTGACCCTCCAGTGACTCAAGGCTGTAAATTGCACTGGAGGAAGTTGCTCATCTTTCTCCCACAGTACAACTTGTAGATTTGAACTGCCTGCCTTTGAATTGGCAACACAGTTTCTTAACACTCAGCTACCAGAGTTCCCTATCTAACAGTAGAATAAGATTTTAAAGTATGTATAGTTAAACTATTGAATCTATGGATTAATTAGAATGAGATTAGTCTATTTGTCCAAAAATAAAGTTTCTTAGGTATAGTAAGGAGAAATAATGCTATGATATGTCATTTCAGTGTTTGTTAAATAAAATTTTCTGTGTAAATACATATGAAAATGTCTAAAAATACAAATAAATTGAATAGACAACTAATAAATCAACTTGGGGTAAAGAATACATGTTGAATTGTACATGTATAATAGGGAGTATCACTGCTTTGTTTTTCAACGGTACTTGTTCATATAATCTTAAAGGTATACATTTAAAGTAGAATACAAACTATAGACCTATAGATTGTGCCAGTGTCAATTTTCAGGTTTTCATTTGTCATATAGTTATGTAAATTACCTTTGGGAAGAAGGGTTCATGGGACCTCTCTCTTAGTTTTGCAACTATTTGTGAGGCTATAATTATTTCAAGGTTTAAATTTTCCTGAAGGCATGCAGTTCAGGGCCACCACCCTCTCCACAGAAGGATGGACAGTCTCCTGCCATGCAATTAATTGCCTCTGAAAACCCACTGAAGGGTCAGCTATGTGTTGGTTCCAGTGGTACACAACAACAATAAATAAATGAAGAATAAAAATGTAAAATGAATTATAACCACTAGTAACTAAAGTTTGGAAGCAGGAGTGGCATCCACTTCCGAAACAACGTGCCTCTGGAAACTCTATGAACTTTAAGAAATCATGATAGTTATAGAAAGGTTTCAGGTGTTTTGTTCATAGGGTTGCTATGAGTTGTGCTCAACTTGATGGCAATCAGCAAGAGTATCTAAAATCTTTTGCATTATCTAAATAATCTTGCTACATTATAAAAATCTAGCAAAGGATAGTGATCATCCTTTTCTTGTTTTATTTAATAGGTCCTAAATGAACTGGAATGCCATGGAGTCGCAGTATCAGAACAAACCCGAGCAGAACTGGAGCAGAAAATAGATGAAGCAAGAGAGAATATCCGAAAAGCAGAGGTAAAGTGGCAGCTATTGCCGACATATTGCCCACTCCAAAGACTGAATGTTACAGCTGTGATATGTGCCTGTAGAATTTCATTTCTTTGCTCTAATGCTCTAATTTCCTTGAAGATGGTTCACCATTTTCTTTAATAAATTTTTTATTTTAATTGTGATTTTAACGAAAGTTTACAGAAAAGTTAGGTTTTCATTCATTCATTGATGCACATTTTATCCCCTTTCCCTCCCTTCTTCCAGTTCACTTTTTAAAAAAAATACTTGTTCATTGTTGCACAATTACTTCCCTACCCCACCCTACCTCCAGTTCTCTTTGCAGTGTACCTCTTACTCTGGGCTGTTGTTGTATGTATAATGCCTAGTCATATATTCCTTTTAAACAGTTCTTTCCTTCATCTATTCCAATGAAGTATTCATTATTTATCCCCTCTTTTCTTAATTTTCCCCCAGCCCCCTGTCAGTCCAGTTTTATAACAGTGTTGTTAGGCAATATTTGTCCTTGTGTGACTGAGATATTTCACTCAGCATAATGTCCTCAAAGGTCACTCATGTATAATATTTTATAAGTTCCTTGTTTTCAGTGCTGTGTAGTAGTCCATTATGTGAATATACCATAATTTTTCTATCCATTTATTTGTTGATGGAAATTTGGGTTGCTTCCAGTTGGGTTGCACAGCGATAAATATGGGTGTGCATATATCTGTTTGGTTGGCAGCTCTGGTTTCTTTAGGGTATCTTCTTAGTAGTGGAATTGCTGGATCAAATGGTATTTCTATTTCTAACTTTTTGAGAAAGTGTCATACTGCCTTCCATAATGGTGGTATCATTTTACATTCCTACTAGCAGTGAATAAAGGTTCCAATCTCTCCACAACCTCACCAGCATTTGTTGTTTGCTGCTCTGCTGAACTTTGCTATTGTTACTAGGGTGAGACGATACATCATAATTTTTTTTTTTAGTTACGTCTCTTTGAGAGCTAGGGATTTTGAAAATTTCTTCATGTGTTTGTTTGCCATCTGAATGTCTTCTTTAGTGAAATGTCTGTTTATATCCTGTGCCCATTTTGTGATTGAGTTATTTATCTTTTTCTTGTTTAGGGGCCAGAGTAGTCTATAAATTTCATCTATGAGTCCCTTATCACATATATCATTACCAAATATTTTTTCCAGTCTGTGGGTTTTGACCCTTTTGGAGAAGTTTTTTTATGCATATAGGGATTCAAGTCTTAGAAGAGCCCATTAATTTCTTTTGTTCTCTCCTGGTTGTAGAGTGTTGTATTTGTTTTCCTTGCACCAGTCAGTTTTATTGACAATGTGACAGCTCATCCCACAATTCATTGTTTGCCCAAACCAAATGAGAGAGTCGGGATTTAAATCCTTCCTCAGTGCTATGTTACCCCACTTACAATACAAACCAAGCACAGGCCTGGGTTGAGGGAAATATGGGATATTTCCCTCTGCCTCCTTTTTCTGTGCAGGCGGTTCAAGAACACACCTGTGGTACGCATAAGGAGGCCCTGGTTGTAGGGTTTTTAAGATGCTTGGCAGATTGTTCATAATGTGGTTTAGGACTTCTAGAGTTTTTCCAAGCTTTTCTCTGGTGAAGTTCCTAGTCTTTAGTTTTACTCCTAAGGCCTTGATCCACTTTGAGTTGTTTTTTGTGTGTGGTGTGAGGTGTGGGTCTTGATTTAGTTTTCTACAGGTAGTTTTCCAGTTTTGCCAACATCATTTGTTAAAAAGGCTTTCGTTTCCCCACTCAACTGATTTTGTCTCCTTGTCAAAGATCAGTTGACCATAGATAGATGAATTGGTTTCTGGGATCTCATTTCTATTCCATTGATCTATGTGTCTGTCACTGCACCAGTAGTACCATGCTGTCTTGACCACACGACTGTGTAGTAAGATTTGAGATCAGGGAGTGAGATCCCTCCTACCATGTTTCTCTTTTTCAGAAGTGCTTTACTTATTTGTGATCTTTTTCCATTCCAGATGACATTGGAAATTGCCTTTTCCATCTATTGAATAATGGAATTGGTATCTTGGGATTGTGTTAAACTTGTAGATCCCCTATAGTAGAATTGTCATTTTTCACGCTATTGAGTCTTCCCTATCTATGACCATGATACAGTCTTCCATTTCTCCAAGTCTCTTTTTATTTCTTGTAGTAATGTTTTGTGATTTTCTTTGAATAGGTCTGTTGTGTTTCTAGTTCGGTTTATTCCCAAGTATTTAATCTTGTGGTTAGCTATTGTGGTACATATTGTTTTTCTTTGCTCCATTTCTACATTCTCTTTGTCACTGTAGAGAAATCAATTGATTTTTTATGTTGATACTGTATCCTGCCACTTTGCTGAATTGGTCGACTGTGGGTCACCATTTTCATGTGTCCATAGTAGGATGTATTGGGCATCTGCTTTTCTGCTTTGTGCAATGTTGCATAGGAAGCACACACACCCCTCAGAGAATCTAAAATTGCTGTGAGGAGTTTACAATTATAAGACTTTACATTAAATAACAAAAAATGTGTCACAGTGAAGATACTTTCTTTAAAGTTTGAGGAAACTACATTGTAAACCTGTCAAATTAATGATAAAGAATTTATGTACATTCAGAGTCAAGTCTTCCTTTGGAAGGTTCCTGGATTCAGAGACATGATCTGGGCATTTAAGAATAGGGGAGAACTTAGTTAAATATAAGTCCGAGTCATTGCTATGGAGTCGGAACAAACAAATAATAAATCACATGAGAGGAGATTGCCTGTCTTTCTTCTGAGAAGTGGCTGTTCAGACCACCAGAGAAGTGCCACCTATGGGATAACAGAACAACTCCCTGTGGGATACACCACCAGAACTTATATGTACCTGCAAAAAAGAAGGGGCGGGGGGTGGGGTGGGAAATGAGTGTGAGTGTGTGTATGTATAAAACAGTGGATTTTCATTTGCATTGTGGAATAGAAGCCATGAGACCCTTTGAGAATTCAGTTGGTAAACAAATAAACAAAAAGTGTATTTTGTGTAAAATGTCCAGAAGTTGCTGTATCCCAAACCTTCAAGTAAATGGATTCACACAGTGACTGCAGCAGATTTCAAGTGTGTCAAATTGGAAGAGTGGCACAGAATAGGACAGGGTTCAGCTCTGTTGTTCCTAGAGTCCTGCTCAAGTCAAGGACACCTGACAGCAATACTTAGATATTTACACCTGTGAAGCAGAAGTGTAAAGGACTAATACATACAGAATACTTAAGAAGCCCTGAGGATTCAGTGATCACTGTAGGAGAGATAATTAGGGCAGGTTAACCAGAAGAGAGGATTTAGAGTGGTATTAATGCAAAGAGACATAGAATTTGTTGGTAGTAGTGTTATTATGTACTGTGGAGTCAGAACTGATTCATAGCTGACCCTCCAGTGGGTTTTCAGAAGGTTGGCAGCACAGCTCCTTCCCACTAAGCCACAAGAGCTCCCTAGTATTTGGTTAGTCAAAGGAAAAGTCCATGGCTGCCAACCTACAGTTCAGCCATTTAAACCCACTAAGCACTGTACAAAGTGAGCTCTGGTGGCTTATTGATAAAGAGTTGTGCTGCCAACCCAAGGGTACACAGCTCGAATCCAGTGGCTGCTCCGAGAAAGAATGATGAGCATTCTCCTCCTATGCAATTGACTGCCTCTGAAAACCTGCTGGAGAATTACAGTGGGTCAGTTCCAACTCAGTGTACAACAACAGGATCCACTATGCAGAAGAAAAGACCAAACCATCAGCTCCCATAAAGATTGTAGCTTAGGAAACCTCTGCCCTATAAGATTTCAAGAAGTCAGAATCTACCTCACAGCATACAACAGTCTTTACAGAAGCAGATTGTTAGGTTTTTCCTACCACAGAACCTCTAACGGGTTCACACAACCAACTTTACATTTACAGCCAGCTTAACTGTTGCCTACCAAGGTTAGGCTAAATCACTGATTCTTAATCACCTCTCCAAGTTTCTAGACGTTCAAAGCAAGTACTTCATTCATTAAAGGGCATCCAGGAGTTGGCAACAAGAGAATCATAGGGAATATGAGCATGCTTTTGGCACATTCCCGCTTAAATGCTTTAAACCAGACAGATCTGCCATCTGTTGGCCTCGCCAGTAACCCCAGCTGTGCTTCATTTCTGTCCGTCTGAGCCACATCCTCTGTAATGAGAAGGGCAGGGCATGCAGGGAATAACCATTTTCCGCTCTGATTTCAGGGTCGTGGCCAAGCCACTGTCCTGGGGTGCTGCCCAATGACTGTTGGCAGCAATGACCATTTGAGAGACACTGGTTTGTGGTAGAATTTTTTTTTCTTGTTTGTTTCTCCAAACCTGAATGAAGTCCATTTCAGTGTCTTGGTAAAAGAGTGGTGATTTGTGAAGCAAGTCTCAGAAGTTTTCCAGAGTGTGTTCTTTTTTCTGTTTCTCATTTCCAGAATCCATCTATGGTGTCACATTCTGGTACCCTCACTCCACCAAATCCCACTGACACCCAGGAGTGTAGGTATTAGTCACACAAAGACCACATTTAGTCCGAATGTCCTCTTATTTCTATTAATGTTCTAAAAACTGTGTTTGTTAGTTTAAAGCAAAAGACATGAAGTTAGATTTCCATAAGCATAATGTCTCACCTCTCTTAATACCAGTATGTAAGTTTGCTTTCTCAAAGATAGTTTTCTTACCAAAAATATGGAATATGATAAAACTGTAGTGGCCAGATTCATCCTTTCCATTTTGGATACCTGTGGAATTTAGTTATTTCTACTGTTACCATAAAATAATCTCTTATCTTTCTACTTACCAGATTTACAAAGAAGAAGAAATGTGGTAGCTTAAACTGATAGCACATAGATGACCTATTTATTGGAGGAGTAATTAAATAACATGATTGGATAACATGATTCTTATAATGAATTTTTTTTTATAAACTAGACCACAAGAACATTAAGAGGAAATAACAATAATGTTTGCTATAGATTTCTGTTTCATTTC